TCCCGGGATCCCCCCGTTTCGGCGAGGGTTGTGGCTCATGGGAGGGGGAACGCATGGTTAGCAAGCAGGGTACGTAGGGGCCCCCCCCAAACCGGAGCGTTCGGTTTGATCCCCGCAAACCTGGGGGGGGGGGTTCCCCCGCTCAGGGGGTCCCCCCTCCCCGGGGGGGGAGGGAACCCGAGGAGCTTGGGGGAGATTGGTTCAGGGGTTCCCACAGCAGGCTGGAAGTGATTCGCAAGTGGAACCCCCCCCCCCCCCCCCCCTCCCCCAGTAGGTTACTCAGATCTCAGTCTCCCAGCTGCTGCCAGCCGTCGGCAAGCAAGCGGCGGTGAAGCCTGGTCCATGGCCGGGCAGGCGCGCCGCAGGCGAAGCGCTCTTGCGCCTTCTTTCGTCCCTCGAGCCCTTCACGTTCACGGGCGTAATGATAGGGGCGAGACTGCGTCAATTCCGACTGCGTCAATTCCCTATTTCCGTCGCCGTGCCTCCTGCTGTGGTCTGTGGAGAGGGGTAAAAATGCCACAGTAAACGCGGGAGCTATCATTACGGAAAGACGTACAACTGTGTCGTGGGAGATGTTCACCGGGGAGACGGGCAACAGAGACACGCGCCGGGGAGAGACATCTCGGCCTACATCTCGGCTACTTTGCGGATCTGTATCAACTACGCGGCAAGCTCCTCAGGTGGGCGAGGAGCAGGTGCTGCTCGAAGTGCACCAGGCGAGTCGCCGCCTCCTCGGCCGCCGAGAGCAAACCGCCCTGCAAGCCCCGCGCCGCCTGCTCCGCGCTGCAGGCGTAGCCCCGGAGGTGGCGCTCGAAGAGGGAGGCGAGCCGCTCGCGAACCGCCGCCTCGCGCGCGATGGGCTGCCGCAGCGCATCGGCGGGGTCGGCGGCGTCGGCCGCCAAATGTCCTTCGAGCTCCGCCTACTCCCGAAGTGCTGCGGAGACCTGGTCGAGGTCGCATCCCCCCCGCCCCGGGCTGTCGGGCAGCCGTCGCCTCCCCGACGAGTGTCGCGCGCAGGGCGAGGTAGAGCGGGCTGCTCTCGAGGCCCACGTCCGGCACCCACCACGCCTAAGCCACCGGAGAGGCTCACGCCCCCGCGCGCCAGGCGGGGCAGCGGCCGGGGCGAGACCGCGCACCTCGAGCTCGTCGTCGTATCCGCGTGCAGCCTGCGCCGCGACGAGCGACCTCCTCCACCCCTCGCCGCCCTCGCCGCCCTCGCCGCCCTCGCCGCCCTCGCCGCCCTCGCCGCCCTCGCCGCCCTCGCCGCCTCCCGCCCACAGCTCAAGCTCCGGCACGCGCACCTCGGCGGTGTGGACGACGCTCGTCGCGTCGAAGAAGCCGTACCGCTCGAAGAGGTCGAGGTGGTCCGCGTCCGCGTCGTAGCAGAGGGAGACCTCGTCTCCGCGCTCGAGCGCGTAGTTGGCCACCAGCCGCACCGCCCCCCCCTCCTGCTGCAGCCGCGCCGTCGCGCCGACAGACGCGTGGTTGGCCAGGTCGAGGACCTGCTCCACATCACGCGTGAGTGGAGTTCCCATTCTTTCGTTGAAGATAGGCGCGTGCTCGGCGAGGTCGACGGACCGGGATCAGCGCGCG